GTGGGGGGGGCCGGGGAGGGGAGATCCAGAGCCCTGCGTGCTGTAGGGAGGTCCCATCCAGCCCAGCAAGCACCTCTGGCGGCGATGGGCGGCAAGGCGGAGGCGTTGGCGCGGACGGGGTAAGCGCTCAGTGCATTGGCCTTAGGGCATTAACGCTGCTGCTCCGGGCCAGTCGGGTTGAGATGCCACAGATGTCCTAAAGCCCTGTCCTCTCTCCAGCCGCTAGCTCGCTGCGCAGTGCTGCGGTGCCACGCCACCCCTCCCTGCCGGCCTGGCGCCGGGCAGGGTGAAGTGCTGGTCGTGCCTCCACCGAGTCCTGCGCCTGGCTGAGCTGCTCCCAGGTATCTGGCTTGAAGCAGGTTAGTGGCCAGCCCCTGGCTCAGAAGGATGCCTGTGGATGGGAGCTGCCTACAGATGAGCTGGGCCTGACTGCAGCCACGTGGGTTGGTGGTATGGAGCTTGGGCCAAGAGTCCATGTGGTTTTGGAGGCCTTATTGCTGTGGTGCCTGTGACTCTTCTTGTGGCAATGAGCTGCTGTGTTGGGAAAGAGCGGGATGAGGGGAGAGTAGGGCATGTCCTGCCTTTGACAGGTGTGCAGTGAAGTCCTGTCTGGTTTCTCCTCCTTGTTGTGGGGCATGGGGTGCAGTGACACTTACTGTCCTGTAGGATGCCTGTGAGTCGGTGGCATTCTCCTGTCCAGCAAGGGCTGGGACTGACTGAGTCCCAGCTGGCCTGCAGGACCTGATAGCCTGTTGTATTCCTCTCCCTCTCTTTGCTGAACTCTTTTTGGGTGGGGATTACTGAGAACTAGCCCTCCTCTTGGACAGGAGATGGAGGCTGCCTTTGCATCTCGCTCTCTTCCAGGAGACTCCTCCTTTGCTTTGGCGGGAGACTCGGGGTTGTGGTGGAGCCCCGGGGTCTCTCGCCTCCTCCTCGCCTCACATGTGGCAGTTCTTGTTTTGCAGGTGCAGCCGGGTGTGTAGCAACATTGCTCCACGATGCAGCGATGAACCCTGCAGAAGGTAACGATGATCCTGTCCTCCCTGGAGGGTCTAGGAGTGGGAGCTGCCCGGGCTGCTCTGGTCCTGTCTGTGGCGCCAGAGGGTACTTTCCTCGCTGCTCGCCCGACCGCAAGGATCCTTCAGGGGCTAGTGGCTGTAGCTCAGTTTAGGGAGCCCAGTGGCTGCCAGTTATGGAGCGGGGTAGGCAGAAGCGATTCATTCTGGGAAGTGCAGCAAACCCCAGCCTAGGAGGAGCAGGGAGGGAGCCAGCCTTTCACCCAGCATTTGTGCTGGTGACAGTTTCCTGGGGCAGCAGAGAAAGCAAGAGAGAGACGCAATCCTGACCGTTGAGGAAGTCATTCCGGGGGAATGGCAGGGAAACTGGACATTTCTGTGGTGAGATCTCTTCTGGAAGATGTGATGTGATGTGAGCTTCTGTGTTCAGGGAGAAAAAGAAATGATGAGATGCAAAAGACTTGTTAGAGAAGTCAGGAGAAGGGAAATCTCATCTTATGAAGTGTCTGGAAGAGACTGGTTTTGTTAAGCCTGGTATGAAAAAGGCAGAAACAGATTATAATTACAGCCTATGAATATGGTGGGAGGAAGGGGGAATACTGAGTAAAGATCAGTCACAAATGCTTTTTTTCCCCCTCAACATTAGAAGGCTTATGACAGCAGGAGAATAAAGAGCTGTAGTAGCCATTGATAGCAGTTCTTGGGGCAAACATCACACACTGTCATAACCTGAGCAGTGCCTAGGGCCTTTTAACCCTACCTAAGTTATTTCAGCACAGGCTCAACTGATTTGGACTCAGCAAGTGCCTTGTTCATGCACGGTTGTCACTCTTGAAGCTCTGAGAAGGAGCTAGGCAAACGCCCTTCCTCTGTTCAGGAGGACCATAGGCAGGCTTTGGACCTTTTCTGCAGGCAGCAAGGCCTCCTGCCTGCCCACAGCATGACTCTGATCCTAAGGAGCAAGCAGCTGCTTTGGCTGAACTGTTGTCATTCCTTCCCTGGAGCGCCTCTTCTTATCACAACTGTAGTATTTGTTGTAATCGCATTGAGTTTAGCTCCTTATGGTCACTCCGCAGGATGGAGGGAGGCAGGACAGCAGTAGGCTGCCTTCTCGGCTCCTCTGGTTTGCTGTTGGATGCTTCTGGTGGATAAGCTGGGCGTCTGGTTTTGCCCCAGTGCCTGTGTTTCAGCAGCGGCTGGTAACATTTCCTTGCAGGTTGGCTGTGCGGTGTGTGCCAGTCATTCTGGGCTGAGAGAGATGTCTAAGGAGTGGCAGGTTAATGCAGATCTGGAGATCTATCTGGAAAATACCAGAATAAATATAGGAGGGGTTCTTTTGGCTGCATAGTAGATCTGCAGTAGTGGATAGGGGGAAATTGGTCACTTGGGAGTGGGGGAGGTGCGCGAATGGGATCTTCAGTATAGATTTCT